AGAAAAATCATTAAGTAATTTAGCTATTAAATTTTGAAAGATTCATTCATTCAGTGTGTGTATGTGTGCATACCATGCTGTGTAAGCCAGAGGACAATTGTGGGAGGCTTCATCCCTTCTACCACTTGGGTGGCTATCAGCTTGGTGGCAGGCCCTTTCCTTACTGAGCCATCGTGCTGACACTAGGCTATTTTTAATGTAAGAGAACATTTTACATGGTATCGTGGGTTAAGATGGCAGAATACACAGTGTTGAAAGGAGAATATAGGGGGAAAAACAGACAGAAAGTGAAGTTTTGAAGAAATTGAGGTAAATTTTTACCAAGATAACTCAGTTTTAAGAGTACCTAGAGCTATATGTGAGAAAAACATCCAGAAAACATAGTTCAAAACTAAATATAGTTGACCTGGAAATACCTTCTCATTACCAGTCCCTAGTATAATCTGTATGTAGGTGGCTCTCGGCAGTTGTGCAGGAATGTGAAAATTCCTTCATTTTTACTTACTAGGTTCCCATATATAATCTGACTGTTCTTAAGGCCTTTCAGTATTTGGGAGGGACAAAAGTTCAATTGATCAATTTTGCAGCTAAATAGCATTTACTTCTCCAGTCTTCTCACAGAGCCCTTCACCCTGGCTACCCTTCCCTGTTTGTAAGCTCTGTGCCTTGTACTACCTAAGAAAACACTGTGAAGTTTGAAATGTAGTTAAATGCCATAAGGTTTCGCACCTAAATTCAGTCCATTTTTTCATATTTGGCTCTGCAATCCTTAAGGATGAACTAGAATATTTTTTTTAAGATTTATTTATTTTGTATACAGTGTTCCATCTGCATGTACACCTGCATGTCAGAAAAGGGCACCAGGTATCCTTATGAATGGTTGTGAGTCACCAGGAGGTTGCTGGGACTTGAACTCAGGACATCTGGAAGAGTAGCCAGTGCTCCTAACTTCTGAGCCATCTCTCCAACCCCCTCCTCCTTCCCCCAGATGATTTGATAAATGAGTTTCTAGAATAGTGTCCTCTCCTAAATACAGCATCTTCTGTGCCACTTCAGACCAGCTGTCATTGTTCAGATATTTGTATAGAAGCTTCATTGTTTTTATATATTGTTTATTTTCCAAGTACAGCAAATATTACACCACCAAATGTAGTAATTGGCTTTTGGAGGGAGCTCAAGACAGGATTTCTTTGTGTAGGACTGGCTGTCCTGGAACTCACACAATATTCAGCTTTTTTAAAAAAGACATTTTATTCATTTTTAAAAGATATTAGTCATCCCCAATTTTCTAAAACATACTGCTTCTCCCATTTTTAAGTTACCTGCAGGAAAGAATCTGATTTTTCATCCTGTATGATCTCTCCACAATCTGGATTTTGTTGACCTAACCCTGGGATACAGTTTAATAAACTTCTGTCTCTGCTTTCAGTAACTGGAGATTAATCTCTTCCAGAGCCTTTCCCCTCCTTCTCCAGCTTCTTCCCAGATGTTGAGAAGTTGGTGGGTGCCCTTATACCATGGCACTTGTGTCTGATTTGGCCTTGGTGACTGATATAGAATGCCTTGACTGGAGTTTAGTAGGTGTGTCATTTTCTCACTGATTTGCTGAGAATTCAAAGAGAATGTTTCCTCTTTCTTTCATTTGCTTTAGTTAGTCACATAGTTGGAAACAAGACATGTTTGCTTTGCTGGAGCTCTTCTACAGGAAATAGATACTAAGTGCCATACACCGATCAGCTACACCAGATTCAAGTTACCCTAAAGGAAGTGCTCCATAGTGGAAGAAGGTAGATAAACTTCTATAGTCACAGAACAAAAAGCCATGAGCCTATGTATTTCCTGTGTACATTGGTAGAGCCATTAGCTAGGGACTATTATGGGGGGTGGGTGTCCTCACTAGGATTCATGTGTCATGCATTCTTTCTTTGCCTTTAAGTTTGGTTTTTTTTTAAAATTCATTTTACATACCAGCCATAGCTTCCCCTCCCTCCTCCTCCAACCCCCCCCCCCCCCCCCCCTCAGGAAGAGTAATGCCTTGGTTTGCCCTGGTAAGGAAAAGTAGTTGAGATCTCCTGGGTAAACTGGGGATGGGAGAGGGATGGAAGAAGGAGGGGATGGGGGATGAGAACATGAGGGAATGGGATGGTGCAGTTGGGAAGGACCGAGTGAGAGAGCCATGAAGGAGAAATCTTGGTAGAGGGAGCCATTATAGGGCTAGGGAGAAAGTTAATGTTATTCTGTTCTTAGTCTTCAGGTTGGTAGAGACTAGCAGTGGGTCAGTGTTCACTGTGCATCTAAGATTTTTATCTAGAAGTCACAAGGGTATTAGGTCAAATCCAGTGGTGGCCAGTGAGTGGAAATAAAGATGGTCCCCAATAACTTTGCCTTGACTTTCAAATCAGCTTGAGTCAACTGGTCTGGATGTTCTTTAGCATGATTGGCTTAAGAGACCTTTTCACAGTATAATCAAGTTTGAATAATTGCCAGATCCATGCCCACCTCAAACATACATCATGTTTTGGGAGCTTCAAAATCTGCTAGCTGTTTTGAAGTGCACAGTTAATTGTATCTGGTGGTTATCATCCTGACCTATAGAGCGTTAGAATATCTGTCTGCACTCTGTTACCTTTTAACTGTCCTTTGCCCTCCCCTGGCACCCATCCTCCCCAGCCTCTGATAACGCCATTTTTGTCAACTTGATACCAACTAGAGTCATTGGAGAGGAGGGAACCTCAATTAAGGAGTCGCCTCCTTTAGATTGGCCAGTGGGTGTATCTGTGGAGCGTTTTCCTCATTGTTCATTGCTATGGGTGATGTTGCCTCTGGGTAGATGGTGGTAGGTTTTATAGGAAGACAAGCTCATCAAGCCCAGGGGTACAAACCAGTGAGCAGTATTCCTTTGTGGTCTTTGCTTCAGTCTGTGCCTGGTTCCTGCCTTGGCTTCCTTTGGTGGATGTAATCTGTAAGCCAAATAAACCCTTTCTCTCCTAAGTTACCTTTGGTCAGAAAGTTTTATCCCAGCAACAGATAGCAAACTAGGATTCTGTTCCATTCTGTTCTTATATAAAATCAGTGTTTCTTTCAGTTCTTCAATGTTCATACAGAAAAAACTCCTTCAATTTAAATTTACGTTTAAATTCTTCTGCTTGAAATTGTTTAACATATTTTTCTCCACATTGATGTGTTTAACATCTTAATAGCAGAGGGAGAGGGAGACAAAGACCATATATGGGAAAGGAAAATGACTTTTGTAAAGGTCTCATCTGTAGGAGAAACAATAGGCCATGTTCCTTTGCCCTCAGAGGGGACATTCGATAATCAAGTCATTCTGAGTGTTTCGGGAAGGCTCATTGATCACTTAAAAGATTTCGGTAACTCAAATACTTTTTGCTTAAAATATGTTTTTTTATTTTATGTAATTTGCATATCCATATGTTTATTAATATATCTAATATATAGAAATATATGTAAGAAAGCATTTTCTGTGATAAATACATAAGAGCAACAACTTAAAGGAGCAGGGAGTTACTTTGCCTCATGGTCTGAGAGGTTTCACTGCACAGTTGACTAGCTTCATTGATTCTGGAGCAGAGTCAGGCAGAACATCCTGGTAGAAGAGAACACACTGAAGTGGAGTTGCTCACATCCTTGTGGTCAGGACAGTGGGAGGAATAAAAAGGGGACCAAAGATAAAGCTTGTATTCCCCCATCTCCTGTTCAATGTAATACTTGATGTCAAGTGAAAGAGATACAAACAGGAATGGAAGAAGTCAAAGTATCTTTATTTGCAGATGATATGATTCTTAAACATAGAGGACCATAAAGACTCTACCTGAAAACTATACTTGATAAACACATTCAGCAAAGTAGCAGGATACAAAATTAAAACAAACAGAAATTGGTAGTTTTTCTATATATTGATGGTAAACACACTGAGAGAACAGTTGAGGAAACATTTTCATTAATATTAACGTCAAAGAATTAAAATATCTTGGAATAAATCTAACCAAGGAAGTGCACAACTTCTACATTGAAAATTTGAAGGCATTGAAGAAATTGAAGATGTCAGTGGGTAGAAAGAATTCCTGTGTTGGGGGGGTCTAGGCCCTGCTCCAAATGATTTGACAGACTTTGAAGATACCCCATGGAAGGCCTTACCCTCCTTGGGGAAGCAGAAAGGGGTTGGGATAGGGGGTCAGAGGAGGAGAGGGAACTAGGATTGACATGTAAAAGAAACTTGTCTCTAAATATAAAATTAAAAGAATTCCTGTGTTTATGGTTTAGTAGGATGCATATTGAGAAAATGGCCATCCTAGCAAAAAGCAGTCTACAGATTCAGTGCAATCCCCATCAAAATTTCAAGGCAGTTATTCACAGAACCTGAAAAAAAAATCTTTTTTTCTTTTGGTTTTGCCAAGATAGTGGGTTTTTTTTGTGTGTAGCCCTGGCTGGCATGTCCCAGCATTTGCAGAACTTTTCTCAGAAGCTCTTTTCCTCTGTGTCATTCAGCTGATGAGAATTAAAGGAGACAGATATGATAGCCTTAGGCTTTTGTGCTTCTATTAATGATGCAAGGGAACTTTTCCTTTTTTGATTCCTCTTTTGGTTTTTTGAGACAGGCTTTCTCTGTGTAGCATTGGATCCTGTTCTGGAACTTGCTCTGTAGACCAGGCTGGCCTAGAACTCACAGAGATCTGGTTGTCCCTGCCTCCTGGGCACTGGGATTAAATGCGTGTGCCACCACTGCCTGGCTGCTTAAACTTTCTTTGGCTTTGCCGATAAAGCCCAGTAAGGAAGGGGAACAGAGCTGTATTGCAGAAGAGCTATTCTTCAGTTGAGTGAAGGGGGCATTAAGTATCTGTCAGTAGACCACTGTTGCAAATTGAAATGGTTTGTACACATGATATTTATAAAAGGTGTTCATATATACAGAGTTATATATTGAATTTGCTTACAAATGTAACTTTTCATAACACATTTCCTTGTTTTGTAATGAACAGAAGAATCGAGTGCTCCAGTAGAAAAAAACATTACTTTGGAAAGTCCTTCTGACCTGGAGCTCATATGCCAGTTCACGACATCTGGGGATTTGAACTCAGTGAATGTGACTTGGAAAAAAGACGACGAATTTTTTGAAAATATTGATGCTTTCAACACAACTAAAACAGGAAACACCTTGTACAGTCAGTATAGGTATGTACATAAGGGTGAACACTGCCAGCTATAGCCAGTTTAACTACACATGTTTCTACTGATTAAGTATCTTTCCTTTGCAGTCATTTGAATGTTACACTAATATTCTCATTTTCCTGTTTACTGCTTTAAAATTTTGACTATTGACTTCATTTTTTATTAAATATTTGTGAGAAGTAAGCTTGTATTAATAACTCTAATTATTTCCAGGTTCATCATTTTTAATAGCAAACAAATGGGGAATTATTCTTGTTTCTTTGGAGAAAAGAAGCGCAGAGGAACATTTAATATCAAAGGTCAGTATTTATAACTGTAGCATTACATCCTTAGATTTCTGTCTCTTGTGGTTTAAGTAATTACTATAGTAATAAATGTAGTTCAGCTGAAAGAAAATCATGTACTTTGCACTTTGCCAAGAGGTAACCTTACTTGAATGTGGTCTTGCCTTTCCCAACCCATCCCTTTCTTCCTTCAATCTTTATCCTCCATTTCTTAGTTAAAAAATAAAAGGACAGTTGCCAAGGTTTTCATAAATTTTATAAATGTCTTAAATTTATTCGTTAGCCCTCTGTAGAATATTACTTTAACTATGAAAAGGAGGGTTACATTTGTTTGTGCTGCATTTGTTTAACATTGTAAAGATGTGTTGCATTTGTTTAGTTATGCAAAGGTGTGTTGCAATTGTTTCACCTTGCCTGCCTAAGGCACCTGATTAGCCTAATAAAAAGCTGAATGGCCAATAGCTAGGCAGAGGAGGGACAGGCAGGGCTGGCAGGGCTGGCAGGCAGAGAGAATAAGTAGGAGGAGAAATCTAGGCCTGGGGGAGAGAAAAAGGGGGACACACCTGGGGTCAGAAGCCAAGTAGCCACTAGCCAGCCAGAAACAAGAATCAGGGAAGTAGGACATACATACATACATACATACATACATACATACATACATACATACATACATACATGGAGGAAGACAGGAAGGAAGGAAGGCAGAAAGGAAGGAAGGAAGAAAAGAAAGAAGGGAAGAAAGGTAAAAGGCCCTGAGGCAAAACATAAATGAAGAGAAACAGATTAAAGTAAAAGCTAAGATAAGTTCAAGCATTCATAACTAATATTAAGTCCCCATGTCATGATTTGGGAGCTGTTTGGTGGCTTAAAAGAAAGCCTGTGGCCGGGCGTTGGTGGTGCACGCCTTAATCCCAGCACTCGGGAGGCAGAGGCAGGTGAATCTCTGTGAGTTCGAGACCAGCCTGGTCTACAAGAGCTAGTTCCAGGACAGCCTCCAAAGCCACAGAGAAACCCTGTCTCAAAACCAAAAAAAAAAAAAAAAAAAAAAAGAAAGCCTGTTACAGTATTTCTAAGCCATCTAGATTGTGAGTTGCTACCTTCCCAGACTGAGATATGATACAAAATAGTTTGATACTGTGTATCAGTGCCTTCAATACTTGGAATTCAGAGGACCAAAAAAGTTTCATATATCCTGTGATGCACAGTGGTGCCTGAGTTTTGTGTCATCAGGTATGGGCATTTCAGAACAGTCGAGTGTCTCCCAAAGACAGAGATGCTACTTGTGGACTGCGTCATTGGGTACCAGTGTTCTATGTAAGCTTGGGAAGAGTGTAGCCCACCACAGACCTTGGCTGTGTGGCAAAGTCTGGTGCTCCTAGGCTAGAACCATATCCAGGAGGTCACTGCACTAAATGCAAGTGTAACACAAAGGCATGTGTTTATCTAAATATATAAAATATGGCATAAATGATGGAAATGGCCCATGTGAGAAGGGCACTTTCTGTGGATAAATTTGATGGACTGGAATTGATCTGGCAAAGGGGAGGTGAGTGATTTTGAAGCCTGATTACTGTGTGCTACTGTAGAGTTTTGTTTTTTAAACATGGCACACTCACACACTTCTAAATTTATATAAAAATTGTTTCTAATTTGATAATTTGTCATACTTGGATGATATTATGTGTACCCTTGGTTTGGCTTCTTCTCTCTGTTGCCTGACCTAAGTTGTAAGGAGTAGTCACTGTGTACTCTCTGCTTCCCTTACTTCTTAATTCATTCCTTTCCTTTCTTACCTAGTTTGCCTTCCCTTTGTCCCCCTTTTCTTGTATTCCCTTCTTTTCTTCTCCTTCCTCTTTACTCCCCCTTCTCTCTTTTCTTTCCAGTGAACAAGTCTGCATTTTGAAATGCAGACGTTTCGACTATGAATTTCAGGGTTGTCTTTTTTACTTTTGTGAGGAACGTCATGGGAAGTATGATAAGGATTGTGTTGAATCTGTAGACTATTTTGGTCATGAAGCCACTTTCACAAATTCTGCTGGTGCATGAGCACATAGATCGTCTCCCATCACCTGGGATGTTCTTCAGTTTCCTCCTTCAGTGTCTTCAAGTTTTCAGTGTAAAGGTCTTTCACCTTCTTAGATTATTTCTAGGTTCTTCTTTTGTTGTTTTTGTTAAGCTATTGTGAATGAGATTGTTTTGTTGATTCCTCTCTTAGCTTATTTCTTATTGGCAAGTGAAAAGCTATTAATTTTATATATTGATTTTTGTGTCTGATATTTTGTTCAAGATGTTGAACAGATCTAAGAGTTTTCTAGTGGAGTCTACAGGGTCTTTTAGGCATCCCCCCCCATGTGTATCTCCTTTATTTCTTTCTCTTGTGTTGTTTTTCTAGCTAACTCTTTCAGTTCTATACTAAATGAGAGAGTGGTTCGTGGTTCAAAGAATGTTGAACTGTGTCTACAGTTGAGGTCTTCTGAGGGGTGGGGCAAAAGGGGGAAAGGACGTGCAAAATGCAATATAAAACCAGAGGAAACTATTTGGGTATTGATGGGAAGGCGATAGCCAGAAAGTAGGTGAGAGGTGGTGGAGAGATGGCTGGGGGCAAAAATAGAGTATAATAATATATGTACAATGTAATGATAGATGTATCCCATTCGTGATGGAACATTGGCGGGCCCAGTCTTGTGGATGTCTGTTGCAAGTTCCCATAACTTCTGTGATGTTTTGAGTACGAATTGTCATGTCCAGAAGGCAGCATTTTACAGTATTACTTCCTGTTCTCTGGCTTTTACATTTTTCTACCCCTCCCCCCCTTTAGAGTGTATTTATTCCTCGAGGCTTGGATGAGTTGATATAGAAATTTCCAGTTGAGAATGCAAAAGTCGTTTTCAGCACTTTCACAATTGATTAGTCTCTGCATTAACCACTATGCACTGTATAAAGAATCTCTACCAATGCTGAGAGCAGCATTGATACATGGTATAAATGTAGATATTTAGACGGCAGTTTCACTGCAGTTAGTTCCTCTCCAGGGCCTGTGACCTCCCAGCCTTGACTGTCCTGGGACTGGCTCTGTAGACCAGACTGGCCTTGAACTCACAGAGATCTGCCTGCCTCTGTCTCCCTCCTGAGTACTGAAATTAAAGGTGTGGCTATTTTTATTTTTGAGGCAGAGTCTCATGTTCTCATACTTGCTATGTAGCCAAGGATGATGCTTAACTTCTGATCTTCCTTCTTCAGCTTCCCAAGTGATGACAAGCATGTGCCACCATGCTTACGCCATCACAGATTTTAATCACCTTCAGGGCTGCAAAAAGCTTTTGTATATCTACTTTTAAAATTTGCTTGAAGCAGTTTAACTCAACTTATTTGTTTTTAATGCCCACTTAACATTAATGTAATTTTTAAGTGTGTACTATATCCTGAAGACATTTATAAAATTAATAATTTGGGTCCTTTCAGAGAGTTCTTGCTAAAAATAATAGCTGTAATTCATCTAAAATTGATTATTGTTTGGGGAAATAATTTTATTTATTTGAGTAGAACTTAAAGGCATCTGTACAACAGTTTATATCAATTATTATTTTATTAGGTCTATTAGGCTTATGTAGTAGTGTATATTTTTATAAACATTACCTACTTGTCTTGCTTGGTTTTTCTTAGGGAGAATGGTCTTTCCTTATCAGTGTTACAAATAAATGTGAATAAAAAGCCAGTTTCACCCTCTATAAATTGACCTAGATTATTCTTTGTATTATTTGTTTTAGTTTTTTGAGACAGGTTTTCTCTGTGTAGTCCTGACTATTCTGGAACTCCCTTCGTAGCCCAGGCTGGTCTCCAACTCAGAAACTCCCCTACCTCTGCCTCCCAAGTGCACCACCACTGTCCTGGTATTCTTTTTCTCCATTTTATTTTACTTTTGTCATAAACTACATGAGTCAAGTCTGACTCATGAGCATAAGCCCTTGGAACAATGTACCCTGCTTCTACTTTTAGGAGAGCTGACTGATGTATTAATGTGACAGTGGAAAAGGGCCTCAATGTCATGTAACGAATCTTTCTCTGTCCTGCTAGCCAGCTCCCAGGGAGACTTTTTATTAACCACGAAAGCTCTACCTATAAGCTTAGGTGTAGCTGGTTGTTTTCTACTCTTTGGCTCTTTTGGCATTATGTGTGCTCTTTGTTTAGCTTATTTCCTCCATTGCCTGACTTAACTTGGTGCATTTTCTTGATTGTTGGTTGATGTGGAAGGACCCAGTTTATTATTATTGGTCTGCAGTTCTCAACTTTTGGGAGGATCACCTATGTATGGGATATTTACATTACAATTCATAATAGCAGCAAAATTGCAGTTATGAAGTGGCAAGGAAATGATTTCATATGGGGGGAGTCCACCACAACATGAGGGACTGTATTAAAGGCTGCAACGTTAAGAAGGTTGAGAAAAGAGGGTTGAGAACCGGCAGGGCATTGGTGGCGCACACCTTTAATCCCAGCACTCAGGAGGCAGAGGCAGGTGGATCTCTGTGAGTTCGAGGCCAGCCAGGTCTCCAGAGGGAGTGCCAGGTTAGGCTCCAAAGCTATACACAGAGCAACCCTGTCTCAAAAAAGGAAAAAAAAAAAAAGGTTGAGAACCACTACTGTAGGTAGTGTCAACCCTGGGTTGGTGGTCCTGGGTATCGTAAGAAAGCAAGCTGAGCAAGCCAGGAAACAGCTTCCTCCATGGTTTTGGCAACAGTTACTTCCTCTAGGTTCTTGTCCTCTTTGTGTTCTTGTCCTGATTTCACTTAGTGATGGAGCATGATAGAAGAGTTGTAAGCTGAAATAAACCCTTGCTTTCCCAAGTTGCTTTTGGTTATGGTGTTTTCTCACAGCAATAGACACCCTAACGAAGACACATGCCGAGTTTGAGAAATCCAGTGTCTAGAAGATAGAGAGCCTGGGATAGCAGAAACTGTGGCCCTGGCTAGTGCTGGGCTTTAGAGTCTGCTTTGTAGCAGTGTCTACCTAATAGTGAGTTGAGCCTGGCATAAGAAGTCAGTGAACCAGAGCTTTAAAAGTGCGCTTTCTGCTTCTCCACATGGGCCTTGAGAACTGTGGCTCAATCTATTTCAGGTTTGGAGGGGTCCTTGTGGCTTCAGAAAAGGATAGACAAGCTTTTATCCAGCTTGATCTGTAGACCTTTAACTGATGCCTTCCAGCTCCCTAAAGCAAGCCACCAGCCCTCAAGCATTGGGGTGTTACCATATTTCGCATCAGTTATAGAGCTCACCAAGCACTGCAGGTTTTGTCAAGAAGCCTGGTGAGAAGGTGGTGTGAAGTTGGGAGGTGAGGAGTGCTTTGTCAGGACACCCAGGAATAGCTTTGACCCCCGCTTTCCAGTCTTCCCTCTATGACAAAAACCACAGATAGGGAACTATACATTAAAAGGGAGCCAAGTCATGTGATTATTGGTTAGCCAGGAGTATAAACCACACTTGTATCAAATCTTGGGATGACTTGACAGCATGGGTAGCTTGTTTCTTTCTTTCATTTTTCTTTTCTAGCTAGGGCTTACTAACTTCAATCAAAGTAGTATTAGCTGCCCATCTACAACCGGAACTCAGTTTAGTGCTTACAACTCTGAAGAATGAAGTACGTTCATTTGGGTTGGGGAAAAACAGAGTCAACAGGGATGGAATTATGTCTGTCAGTTCCCAGTTCTAGAAAACAGACCACTCTGTGCGACAGAATGAGCAAGAATTTCCAGGTCTGCTCTCTAAGGCTAGAAATGTGGAATGAAAGAAAGGAATTTATATAGCATCTAACAGAGACCTCAGGCCACAGACCATTACTGCCCAGCCTTCGGCAGCTCCCACCATCAGTTTTTTTAGTGAAGAAATTGACCCTGCCATGAGAAACAAATCAGAATAAAATGTTCTGGGATTCCACCCAATTGAGCCTTTAACATTTTGACATTCAATCATTTTCTTTTCCTCAGTAACTTAAAATATACTTGTTACATCAGTATCGAGACAGATGGTCTGCTCTTCTCCTTGGATCTGAGAATGGCTTCCAATTTTCTCATGGTGGTTATTTTCCTCAACTTCTGAGCCATCTGGATTTATAAACAAGTTCTGAGGCAGTACCTCTAGACTGATGATGGCATTTCGTAGCCTGACTTGGGACAGAACACCTACAAGCTTGGGACAGAACACCTATGAGAGGGACACCTCTCCCCTTACCCCCTTTCCATTTAAATACATTTAGATTGAAATTATTAAAGTTTTAGTTGTTGGTTTTATCAAATTACTATCTGCTTTTTTCTGCTCTTTCTCATTATAAACAGTGTGTTGTAAGTGGGGTATTTCAGTTTTATTCTTAGGTTTGATAATAATGTATGAAGTGATTTTCTTTTTCTTTTTCTTTTTTTTCTCGTCTCCTTTCTGCTCCACATACCACATATGTCTGGAAGGAAGCTTGTTTTGATCTTTTTAAGCAGTTTGATTTCTTGTTCTTGGTAGGGACTTAGCTGGGCATCCTGGTTTAGGTTGTTATCATTTATGCTAAACTATGACATACATACATCATCTTGCACTTGACTGTGGCCAGACAGTAGGAGAGTTTGTCCCATGAATGGACTAGGACCTTCACCAGGGTCTGCAGCTAATATTTCTCCACTCTTCCCTTTTTTCCTATTCATTCATTTTGTTTTGTCTTTGTCATCACTTTTTCCAGATGGTCTGGGTGATTTGCAAAGAAACTCAGTTTAAAGTCCTCCCTGTTCTTGGGTGATTTCAGACATCGACACAGTTCTAAGACATACATAGATGAATTATAGCTCTTTTGTCTTTCCCCTGTAGAACTCATCTCTCCTCTGCTCCAAAAGGCTAGCTGACCTGAAAATCACACAGGACAGTAATTGTTCTTATGGTGATGGCTAATTAATGACATTACACATAAAGGGCACAAGCATTAATTAATTATAGGAAAGCTTGATTTAAGGGAGCTGTACCGTGGCATAATCCCAATGAAGGTTGGAACTTTGGGAGAGTTGTCATGTACCAAGCACTTTGTTTAATCCTTTACAACAACATAGAAGGAGTATAATGCACTACCCATCAGACATCTTTATATCAAAGCCATCATTATGTGTCATATTTATTTCCTGACCCTAAGTCTTCATCGCATCATTAGAGCATTGTGTTGACTTCCTTTCAACACTTATACTTGATTTTTGAAGATAATCATAAGGACCTACTGGTTATCAGATGACAGTCAGTTATGCATGTGAGTTAGTTAGTAAAAGTAATGCTAAGCTGTTAGTGGGGTTTCTTCTGGGTGGGATAATTGGAATCCAAGCACTTTATTCTGGTCATATATACTCACTTCTGATCATGTCCCATAGCAATGTCATAAAGGGCTTGCCTCTATTGCAATGCCTGGTTGGTAGTTTGAATCTTTGGTTTCTGTAAAATTATAGGCCATTTAGTTTAATCAAAACATGTTTCTGTGGTTATGAAACATGTGAGGACCAGTGTCTTAGTTACTTCCTGTCACTGTGATACAACACCATGACCAAGACAGCTTATATACACAGAGTTTCTTTGTGCTGATGGTTTCAGAGGTTTAGAGTCCATCATGGCTGGGAAGTGTGTCATCGAACAGCAGGCAATGACAACTGGTATCCTTGTTGCTCCATCTTCATAGTCTGTGTGGAACAATGAGCGATGATTTCACCTTGTGGCTTTGTTTATATATGTTTTTTTTATTGTTTTTGTTTTTTTTGTTGTTGTTGTTGTTCTTTTCTGAGACAGGGTTTCTCTGTAGCTTTGAGGCTGTCTTGGAACTCACACTGTAGACCAGGCTGGCCTCCAACTCACAGAGATCCACCTGCCTCTGCCTCCCGAGGGCTGGGACTAAAGGGGTGTGTCACGTCTTTAATCTCAGGTATTTGTATATTTTTTAGGTATGAGTTCTCTGCTTGCATGTATGCCTACACTACAGAAGAGGACATCAGACTCCACAATAGATGGTTGTGAGCCACCGTGTGGTTGCTGGGAATTGAACTCAGATCCTCTAGAAGAGCAGCCAGTGCTGTCATGCCTTCTCTTCAGCCCCATGGCTTTTTATTGAATGCTTGTGTTCCTATGTTGGAATTTTCTTAAGCAAATGGTTCACGTCTTTAAAATGTAATGGTTCTGATTTTGTCTTTGTTAGCATTGTTACTAATTGTATATGCTTCAAACTTTCTTGACTAAGAAATTTACTGTAATTAATGTTAGTATGTGTCCTTTTGGCCTAATAATATAAATATGTATCTGAATTTTTTTTTAATGCGTTTCTTTAATTTTCCTCTCAACAGTGCTGCCATATAGTGCTGAGCTTTGTGCACATGGGGCAAGCACTCTACCATGGGGCCACATCCTCTTTCCCCTTGATTTTCCTTTGTTCCTTTGTGTTATCACTTTTTCTAACTCTGCTGGCTTTTTAGAAATTTGCATGAGTTAAAAGGTTTTCTAGCCTGGAAATTTTGCCTTTTTACTCGTGCAAGATAAAGGTCAAGCTGTGAAAAAAGTGTCCCACCATTGCAGTTAGTGGGAAGAAAGACCAGCCGTGAAAGCAGGAAGCTCCTTTTGTATCTCAGGCATTTCATAGTTTGTTGCAAACTTGGAATGGTTAGAATCTTAACCCCTGGAGGCTTTTGCTTCACTGGTACACTGAAGAAGATCCTACTGGTTATCCAACCACTATATTACCACTGCTGCTGCCGTCTCCTAATAACTACAGGTTGCATTGGGAAGAAAATGAAGTGGCAAAATGTCCTCAAGTCTAGTACATTTCTTTTGCTTAAACAGTCTCAGTAAGAAACATTTTTCCTAAACTTTCCTTAGTGCCCAGCGTTCGTGGAAAAAACAAGCCATTGATCACTTACGTGGGGGATTCTACTGTCCTGAAGTGTGAATGTCAAGATTGCCTTCCTTTAAATTGGACTTGGTACACGAGTAATGGAAGTGTACAGGTAAGATCATATTGACCTGGGCTGGGAAGATAGTTGGTCAGAGTGCTTGCCCTTTAAGCAGGGGGCCAGAGCTTGGATACTTTGTACCTTTGTAAGAAGCAGACGTGCCTATAATCTGAGCATTACGGAAATGGAGACAGGACGAATCCAGAGGCTTGCTGAGCCAGATTGGCTAGTCTTGTCTGTGAACTCCAGATTCAGTAGACTGTGTCTCAAAATTAAAGTGGAGGACAGTTGAGGAAGGGTGCTTGATGTTTATCTCCAGCCTCCACATACATCACACACAAATGTGCTCAGACACCCACACAGACATGTATACATGTGTATACGCACAAAAGATCTTCTCTGATTTGAAGAAAACAAAACAAGAAACCTTTTAGTTCATAAAAGATTATAGCTGACTCAAAATTCCTAGGGAGACTAGCACTTCTGTTATAACATGTAATTACCAAGAGCACACAGTGATAAATGGAGTTGTCATTGAATGTTTTCAGCATGTTACATTGCATATGTGAAGACGCTCTTAGTGTTCTATTGGGCCACACTTTTTTTTTTTCCTTTTGATGTTTTGCAATTTCTTTAAATTCTTTGAAGGAAAATCAAAATTCATTTTCAGGATGGGCATGATGGTGTGTGCCTGTAAATCCCAGTACCGAGGAAACTGAGACAGGAGGATTGCCATGTGTTTGAGGCAAACCTGAACCAAAAGGATAGTGCCGGGTAAAGCCAGACTAGCCAAGGCTGCATGGCAAGGTTCTGCTACAAATCAAAATTAAAAATCAGAAGAGAGAGTTTTTGCCTGGGTTAATGATGTGTGCCTGTAATCCCGGACCTGTGGGAAGCTGAAGCAGGGTCTTCATTGTGTTTTCAAGGCCACATATAGAGGTTTTGGTGTTATCCCAGACTATGTCATGAGGCAAAACCAGAGCATTTATAATTGATCAGGTTAAAAATAATTTCACCAGTAAATCCCCGCTTCTGCTTCTTGCCAGTAACTAGAAAACAAAACAAAACAAAAACAAAAACAAAAAAAAACAAAATCCCAGGCTCCTTTTCAGGTTTGTTTCCTGAAATATCTGATACCATTTGAAAAAAGTGAATGGGAGTTTGGTCATGTAGACTTGGGTCTTGTTTTGTTAAATGTCATTAGCTCTTTGAGGGTATTTGACACATTGGAAAGAAGTGGATTTCAAGGCTTATAGATCTAAGACATTTGGCTTCTTGTCTTAGAGCTGATATGAAGAAAACAAGAGTATTCAATGGATAAATTGTCGCTGACTTCCTGTCCTTTCCCAGATACCTTCAAAGAGCTTGAAACTTGGGGCATAGTGCTGTGGGGATGCCCTCTTTTTGCCTTGGTGCTAATGTGTTCAAATTAAAGTCCTATCGAAAGAAAGGCTGTAGTTGTAGATGGGACACATGAAACAGAACAACCCTTTCAATGAGATCTTGAATTCCGACTGAAACAGTGTTGGTGCTGCGGTGAGCTGTGGAGGACAAGTAAAGGGCCTGGGAAGGAATGTGTCTGCGATAACTTTGCCTTAGTCTTTCAAGAATATCTGTAGATCATGCAGGGATCAGCTTAAACAAGGAGTTCTCTGCCCTTTGTCTTATTGATGATTAGGACAGGTATCTACAAATGTTTCTGAAATATGAATTGCCAAAACATACCAGTTGTGATGTTTGGAATATGTAGCTTAATTTATTCAGACATGTGTGTTAGCAAACAGACTAGAGCCCAAGTCAACTTAGATTAAAGCTGTTTTCCGGGTTTGCTGTGTGAATCATTATTCTCATTGTTTGGCATTAAGTCTGGTCATAATCAGCTGTGAGACAGGGCCAGGGAAGGGGTCACAGGTCAACATTTTAGGTCAAGTACCATTTCAAAATGTCAGTCATCATCTGTATCACAATTGGCTCTGTACTTTCTTAAAGTTCAGCTCTTTGATTTATTGTCTCTGATTCATAGGGTAGTTTGTGTAATGGATATTATAGGCTGTACTGCCTGTGTATATAGAAATAGGTCATGGCCATTTTTTCCTCCCTTTGGTGATTAAAAAATACATTTGCAGAGAATTCTTCGTCAGAGAAGGTTTGTATGAGAACATTTGTATGCAGCTTAGCATTTATTGAGTGAGCATCACAGAAGAGTGATAGAGCAGTATAGGTGTCACACGTCCTGAGAATTAAATTTAATTTAGATTAAGTATAACAGCTTCCAAGTATGTGTCACTTTGTGAGCCTGAGGACAACCCAGCAGCTCCCAGAAGCCCATCTACCTGGGAGAGAAAGAAACTGGAATATGAAAGGAAGGAATGGGGTCTATGACAAGAGAGCTGGTCATTGGAGCTAAGGTCAGCTAAGAGGCCTTGAAGATTTCAACTGCAGCTTCAGTGAAGGAAATTCATGTTGTTAGATTAGTGGTTCATTGTCAGGAGTGGTCAGAATAATACTTTTAGAGGTGTTTTGTTTTCTTTTGTGCCTGTCTCTGCTTATGGAGAGCTAGTTATACCTGAGAACGGAAAGCCAAGAAGATTGGACATTTTCTGCTTTGGATTCTCACCCAGTATTTACTAATGACGACCTAAGCATATATTTGCAGGTTCAGACCCTCAGGGCTAAGTCCTCAGTGTGGAGTAAACATTTTGCTTTGCTTGCTGCTGGGATTCCAACCTCTGGCACTGACTCATAAATTTTAATATGCCCCTTTCTGGTAAATGGTTTCCTTGGCTCCGTCCTATAGCTTTGCCCAGAATGAGATCTCATGGGACATGTATCTTTCTGCATTATGTATGGATTTTAATGTCTCCTTGTGTTAGGTTCCTATTGATGTTCTCAAGAATGATAAGTATGTTATAAATGGATCCCACGCTAATGCAACACGACTCAGGGTAAAGCATCTCTTGGAAGAAGATGGGGGCTCCTACTGGTGCCGGGCAGTCTTCCCGTTGGGTGAGAGTGAGGAACACATTGAGCTGGTTGTGCTGAGCTTCATGGTGCCCCTCAAGCCATTTCTTGCGATAATTGCAGAAGTTATTCTCTTAGTGGCCATCATTCTGCTTTGTGAAGTATACACCCAGAAAAAAAAGAGTGACCCAGGTAAGATTTCTTACATTTCCTATTACATTATTGCTTAATTTTGATGTGCATTATAGCTTAACACATAGTCACTTACAAGTTGTGGGCTGGGGAAGTAGATGGCTCATTGAGTAAAAAGCATTTGTTGTTGCACAAGTGTGAGAACCTCCAGAGCCCATGTAAAAAGCCAGGTGCATAGCATGAACATCTGAAATCTTAGTGCTTCCATATACAGAAGGGAGGTAAAGGCGTCAGATCCCTGGAGGCTTGGAAGCCAACTAGCCTGGCATACTCAGTGGAAAACAGCAGAAAGATCCTATCAAGGCACAAGTCAAAAACTGACAGACACCTGAGGTCATGCTGTTACCTTCACACCCAGGCCATGATGTGCACACATGCATACACACATATAAAGATGCACATACACACACACACACAACACACACACACACACACACACACACACACACACACACACACACAGTAAGTAACAATGGTTTGTAAAAAAAAAAACAGTTTTTCATATTTGGACCAATATTTGTATTTGTAACCATAATGGTAATGGTCTATGAACCTGGATTCTTGTTCTTAATTTCATCTGCCTGAAAAATGTTAATGTTAAATTAAAATATTTTTTTGGTTGATGCCACTATGCACCAGTTCAGGAATATGTGTTGACATTGGACTATTAGGGAAAACTTGGGTTTCTTAATATAAATGATCTTAGATTTTTTTTTCCCATTTAAGTAATCCGTTTTAATAGCTTGTGTTAGGGTGGTGGCTTGTGTGTGTGGATGCTCATGTGTCCATGTGCATTTGGGGGTCAAAGCATAAACTTGAGTGTCATCCTTAGGAATTCCTTTTTGATGCATGGTTTCTCAGTGGCCTGGTACTCACCAGTTAGGCTAGAGTGGCAGCTACTGAACTCCATGGTTGCTCTCATTTCCCTTTCCCTGCCTGGCATAATAAATGCGTACTGCCACTCGTGACTTTTCTTGTGGGCTCTCGGATTGAGCTTTGGGCCTCATTCTTCTACAGCAAGCACTGTGTGACTAAGTTCTCTCCCCATCTCCATTTAAAAAGTATTTTATCAGGTGTTCTAGGTTCTCATGAAGTCCAGGTTGCATCAGTGTTGTTGTTTTAAACCCATGTCTGTTGGGCTATTGGATAAGAAAACCTTGATAGAAATTGTCCCATTGTCTTAGTTAGGGTTTCTATTAGTGTGACAAACATACCATGACCAAAAAGCAAGTTGGGGAGAAAAGGGTTTATTTGACTTACACTTCCAGATCATAGTCCATCATTGGAGGAAGCCAGAACAGGAACTCAAGTAGGTCAAGAACCAGGAGGCAGGAGCTGATGCAGAGGCTATGGAGGGGAGCTGCTTACTGGCTGGCTTTTCCTGGCTTGCTCAGCCTGCTTCATTATAGTACCCAGTTGCACAGCACAGGGATGAAAACACCTATCATGGGCTGGGCCCTCCCCCATTAATCACTAAATGGGAAATTGCCTTACAGCTGGATCTTATGGAGGTATTTCCTCGACTGAGGCCCCTTACTCTCTGATGACTCTAGCTTGTGTCAAGTTGACACACAAAACCAGCCAGTGCATGTATTCTGTATTCTTTTCTGATTGATATATATATATATATGGCATCATAGTTTTGAAAAAAAAATCCCAGGGTGCCAAACAGTTCTGATCAGAGAAGTGTCTGGCATCCTGTTAAGCACGAGCCAAGGAAGGCATAGCTATTGAAGGTGGCACTTCTCTCCTTTTTTCATGGGCAATTGTTAGGGAGCAGGTTGAATTGAACTTGTAAACATAGCATTGCATGCTTAATTGCCATATCCTTTGTCTTTATGCAGATAATGGGAAAGAATTTGAACAAATTGAACAGTTGTAAGTATTTTTTGTTTTTTTTCCCACTTGGGCACAATGCAGATAAATACGGAATTAAGTGAAATGTTTGCAGTTAGAAACAAGAAAACCCACAAGAACATGGTGGTGTGCATTCTGTTTTCTGGTTACATCTGTGTGATGAAGAAGTGTGGTACCCAGAGTCTATCTCTCCATCAATAACTGTTCTGTGCTTCTGGTTTCATCTCTGCAAAATGGGTTTATCATGGTGCCCCTACACACATTTGTTGAATTAGTAATAATTTATATGTGTGAATGCCTGCGACAGACTTTGGTACATAGTAACCATATGTATTCATTTATTTAGATGAATCTTTACCTTGCTTGGATTTTTGATGATTGAGGAAGCTTCTTGAGTATATAGTGTTCTTGGGACTAGAGAGATGGCTTCGTGATTAAGAGCTTTTGATGCTCTTCTAGAGGACATGGATGGGTTCAATTCCTGGCAGCCACATGGCAGCCCACAACAGTCCATCGAAATAGTTCCAGGGGATCTGATGTGCTCTCTGCTTTATGGAGGCATGTGTACATGCAGGCAAAACATCTGTACAAGGAAAAATGGAAAAAGAAAAAATGAAAAGAGTACTATGTTCAGATTCAGTTCTAGATTCCTGAGATCGGAACCACTTAGGTTGGGACTAGGTGTCTGGATTTTCTAAATACATCTTCCAGTGGTTCTGATTCTTTCACAATGAAAATTACTCTCCTAGAATTCTATGATAATTACTGTTGAGAGAACTTGTTTTGTTCTCTTGCAGATATCTTTAGAGTAGAACATGAGGCTAACTAGAAATAAAATGGCCAGGGATCTACTTAGGTTTGGGGATGGTGGAACACTTCTCCCAAACCAGAGAATAATGGCATCCAACAGGAACTAAAAGCTGACAAACAGCCAGTAAGCGACCACCCTAAGACGGTGCCTGTGAAAGGAGTGCCTGTGAAAGGAGAGCCCCAACCCCAGCCATTACTAGTACAGGATGGTGCTGGAAGTTGTTTCTCTTCACTCCTGTGTAGTTACTAGGGAATGGGGCTGCATCCTAATTTGTTTTGCTGCCAGAATGGACTTTCAATTTATCAATTCTGTGTAATTTAATTTTTATTACCATAGCTTACCCCACTCAGTGCCCCGCCTCAAACATCTTAAAAGCAATGTCAACATGATTTAATCTATAATATAAAAAGTTTTTATTCCTTTTATTTTAAATTGGAATAACACACATGTTCTCCGTCCTTTATTCCATTGTCGCCATCACAATGACAATGTCTTACTTTTAGGTATTAATGAACAATGGTATTTTAAGCTCATTCAGATTAGCCCTTGCTGTTAGTTCATTTTAGATACTTTAGTTAATTTAGTTTCAAACTAATTTTTTTCACAGAAAACATTTTCATGTGTTACATGACTGATACATTTTACGTATATTTATGTGTTTTGGTATCCCCAGTCTTTTAGTTTCTTGGTAAAAATTTTTTAAAATAATGACAATAAATACATATCATCAAAAAAGGTGGCTTCTTTTCTCCAGGAACTCAGTGAGGAGTAAACTCATTTATTGGATTATTGTCCCAACATCCAAGACTTCTACAGTCCAGTTTTGACATGCATACTGGGGTGGCTGATTTTACTTGTTGATGATAACAGTCTCATGGGCATAGGCCCCCCACATTGTCTCTGCTGGTATTCCCTGTGCTCAATGGTTTTCTCATGCCGTCATACTTAAGGCTCTAATGCCCATACTTGAGACCCTTGCTCTGATAAAAAGGGCCACATGTAGCTTCTCATTAAATGTAGTAGCCATCAAATTATGACTTCTCTCTCATACAAATTGGCTCAGCTCCTGACTGGCTGTTATCTTGCATGTTTCAGAGCAATGTGAGAGTTAACAGTTGCACACATGCCCATGGCCGGCCCTACTCTTGCTAGGGAGGAATCCGTTCTCCCTCTGCTTAGAGCAAGCAAGTCTTTGTTACCAGGCCCGTGGCAGTAGGTGCTCCCTAAGCAATGGCGAAAGAAAAATCAATGTCACAAGTAGAAAACTGTTAGGAAGAATGAATTCAATGTGCACTGACATTTTTAAGACTTGCCATCCAGCTATGGCATAAATATTACACTGACTTAGTTTTATGCATCATGAACATCTGGTGATTTTCCTTTTTGCTTTTGACACAGGAAATCGGATGATAGCAATGGTATTGAGAACAATGTCCCCAGGCTCAGAAAAATTGTAAGTTACTTAAATTATAGGAAAAGGTGAAATTCAATATACTGGGCTATTAAACCTTACTCTTTTCAGATTCATGAAAGACATAGTTCACTGCATGCTTGAATATTCTTGTTTACACAGTAATAGGAGAAAATATGGACTTATACAAAAATTAATGATATCCTTTTCTACCAGAGAATAGGTAGTAATTCTCCTGTCTCAGCCTCCTGAGTGCTGGGATTACAAGCTTGTAACACCATATTCACTTTATTTCATGGTCTTTATATTTATATAAATATACATATATTTACATAAATACATATACACATATATACCTTGGGATAGTTTCTTTTAAAGCTTTTATGTAACTTAAATTCTCAACTCAAACTTTCTGTGTTTGATATTTTTTATTCTCATATACTTCCATATAGTCAATGAATTCATCTGTCATAGCTAATTCCCATAGTTGATTCATAATTGTCTCAATTCGTCAATATTAGAACTTGCTGTGCCAGTAGATTGCAAATTCACTTTCTAGCACCCCTTTGCTTTGCTCAAATGATAGTAAGTTATTACAGATTAGCATGGCAGTAACGGTTTCATTCTGTTTTGTTTACCCTAGGAGTCCATCGAACAATGAATAAAAAGAACATTTCACCTTGAGAAGATGTACAAAGAGTTTGTATTTCAGCTTCCTTTCAAGAACATGTGACTTTTAGATTTTTAAAAGACAAAAAACTTCATCAGCACTCACAGCAGTTGCTTTAAAATAATATAGGCCATGTCCTACCTAAAGATGTATTTTAATTTTGTAATTATTTTCATTAAAGTAAGTTTCAAATGTGTTCTGTGAGCTGTAACCTAGATAATAAATTTTATCTTGGTCTGGAAGATCAGGGGCAGAGAACAGACACCAGCAAAATCAGTCAATAATCCACAAATAAATATCACTAAAGACCTGTTTATTACCAAAGAATTTATGAAAGAGAAAGCTTTTGCCATTGTCTTAAAAGTGTTTTCCCCAATCATGCATAACTACCTGTAGAAGTATTTATAACAGTTTTTATGTGAAGTGTATCCTTCTGTGGTATTGGAAGTATTTTCCCTAGGAAATAGAAACTATACTTTCGATAATGGTGGCTACTCTGCAGTCTCTATGCTAAGATATAGTTTTGCTCCATTTAATGGTATAAAATAGGGAGTGCAAATCAAATGCTTGCCCAGTCGGTATCAACACTGAGGCTTCACTTCACATCTTTATCACACTCATTACCACTTTTCTACTCAAAGCCAAAGTGCTTCTTGGTCTTAAGTAGGACATTTTCCTTGTTCTTTGCCCACGGGGTTAGGACCTCATCTGTCCTCTGGGTGTTGATGTTTCAGAGTGCACATCTATGTGGTCACAGTATGTCACTGCTACCCGCATGCCTTTGTGGCTCATGGTTTCTGGGTACCTTTATTTGCTATCTGGTTTCTGGTACCATAGATGTCTAAATGTATAGAAATGCATTATTAATGCTTTCCAATAATAATTCCTCTAATAACCAGGAATTCTAGTGTATTATTTTCAAGTTGCTGCAGATGCCTTAGACTCGACTTTAAAAGTGGAAGAATTTCATTACAGACATGACTGAGATATTTTATAAACTCAATACAACCAAATCAGTTCAACTTTGAATGGACATAGTCAGTTGTCAGTGGCTTTAAATGAAATACAAAAAGTAGTACCTGGATAGTAGATTAGGTGTCCTGGTGCTGCAAGGTTCTTGTGACGCACTGCTTCCTGCGAACAGGATTAGGGACAATGAGAAACAAAGAGGGACCAATTTGGGATGGTAGGAAGAGAAATCCATGGTTCTTGAGGATTGAGGGATTAGAGGTTGTATAAGAAGAATCCACTGATGAACAATGGAAACTAGAAGTGTGTGCCTTGTGCACTATTACGAAAAGTGTCAACTTCGGGTAGGGAAAATTCTGTACCATCTAGACTAATGTTTATCAATATTACCAACTAAAGTAATACATATAAAATAGTTATGGCAGCTGCTTTCTATTTTGCTGATGCAACAAAATTCAGTATTTTCTAATACATGTTAACTGCACATGTAGATTTTATTGAACTACAATACACCTCTTGGTAGTAGATGCCCTATTTTTTTTCCTTAGTCTCATCTAACCACACATTTGTTTTGCTTTGATTCATGCTTAATTTGACAAGATCATCTTGATGAGCTCAAGGCAACCAGTATAATTAGTGTAAACATTTTGAATTCAGAGAGCAAGTCCCACTCAAAACAGTGTATAACTGTGATTGGATACATACAAAACCCCAACACGTAACTGTACTTGCAGAATTTATCCCTATGCTTTGCCACCACTGACTTTATGTTGAAATAGTTTTCATGAAAAAAAAAATGCTACCCAAAGGTAAAATAATCTGAAATACTTAATATAATACATTGAAATGTTAATGGGCAATGTGTGCTAGTTATTTTTCTAACCAAGATAAGTTATCTCAGTAACTTTAGGTTGAAAAAGTTCTCAAGTATTTAAGTTAATTTTTGGCATTTCAGGGTCTCTCTGGAGTACTTTTGGAAAATTATTCCATCCCTATTAGATTAAAATGGAAAGCTTCTATTAACTAGCCTCATGGAGGTGATGAATGGATGGTCTAAGGACCAATTGTAAATTGACTGAGAAAAATTAAAAAGGTTAAAGCAGGAAAACTACCCTGACTTTATATATAGTGGACACCTGGGAAATTCTATTCATCTTCCCAGTTGATGTCTTCAACATAATAATTAGATGTAATGATGCCATAAAATTTCGAGATAATCTTAATTTTTTTTTTACTTTAAAATATGTTTTCTTTTGCAATTTTTCCTTTTTTTTTTCCTAGCTAGCTAGTCCTTCAGGCTCAAACCTAAAATTGTTTATGATATTTTCTTCTTTGCTGGCTAAGAATCCCTCCCTGTTCCTCAGTCTGTCATTAATCCTCTCAGAACCACCCCTACCACACCTTCACCATCTGCAAGGTTATGGTGTAGGTTTCCCTACCTTGGTCTCATTGTTGTTGATCTCCCCATTTTTCACGGTGCTTTTCAGTCTTCTTAAACACAGATCTCACGTGACGACATGTCAGGTTCCAGGCCAAACCTTATGCAGCTCATCCTTGCCCATTTCTTAGTACTGCACTTCACCCAGTTAGCAGTCTCCCCCCAGTGTTTTGGATTAGTTGTGAATGTGTCTCTGATGCTTCCCCTATCCCACTAACTCAACGTTAGCCTTCAGTATGTTAAGGTTTAGGAGGAACTCAGTGGGGTAGGGACCATCTCATGTACTCACAACTCCATGTTTCTTTGTGGTTGGTTTCCTTCCCGGATTCTGACTTTCAGTTCTGTGCCCTGTATTTAGTACAGGGAGAATGTTATAGGTGGTGTAAAATGTGTATACCTATTTTTAGAAAACCAATTTTAATTATGACAATTAGAGTTGCAAAAGAAAATTTATAGAAAAGCAGGTTATATAAATCCTCAACTGGGGCTGGAGAGATGGCCTCAGAGGTTAAGAGCACTGGCTGTTCTTCCAGAGGTCCTGAGTTCAATTCCCAGAAACCACATGGTGGCTCACAACCATCCGTTATGAGATCTGGTGCCCTCTTCTGGTGTGCAGATATACATGGAAGAAGAATGTTGTATACTAAATAAATAAAATCTTACCAAAAAAAAAAAAAAAAAAAAAAAGCAGGGTGTTGGTGGTGCATGCCTTTAATCCCAGTACTCGGGAGGCAGAGGCAGGTGGATCTCTGTGAGTTTAGAGAGAGTGCCAGGATAGGCTCCGAAGCTACACAGAGAAACCCTGTCTTGAAAAACCAAAAATAAAATAAATAAAAAATAAATCCTTCAACTGAGGGGCTGGAGAGATGGCTCAGCGGTTAAGAGCACTGACTGTTCTTCCAGAGGTTCTGAGTTTAATTTCCAGCAACCACATGGTGGTTCGCAACCACCTTGAAGGAGATCTTGTGCCCTCTGCTGGCCTGCAGGTAGAAGACTGTATACATAATACATAAATAAAATCTTAAACATAAAATCCTTCAACTGTTGTACAGGATATATCACACCTATTCTGATGGGTTTTAATTCCTGCAACCCTTAAAATCCCATGGTCAGTATGCCCAAAAACCTAATTTTTACCCTTTATTTAATAAGGTAACACATTGGAACTGACATTTGTGGTCACTCTATTAGCATACCCATTCCACTTCACCAAGTTTTGTATGTCTTTGAACATCTCAGAATTCACTTCAGAATTTAATAACAGCAGCATTTTACAAAAAGAGTTGCTACATTTTGAACATTGAAAGCATCTTTTTCATGGAATTGATCAAAAGGAAGAGAAAAAACAACCCTGTCATTTCTACCTATTTGTTTCTCATCCTCATCTTTGAGGCACTGAGTTTTTTTTTTTTTTTTTTTTTCACGTTTGCTTTATGTTATACTTCCCCTATGAAAATGATCCTTTGTCATTAAGTAAATCTAGGTAGAGAATTAGGGAATTCCTTCTCAGTTGGTCAGCTCTAGAAAAGGTGAGTCCAAATATGAGCTCTGATGTCAATAGAATGGCTTGATGACCTGTTGTAGTGTGCACTGAGAGGTTTTTTTTTTCTTTTTTTGCACAGAGAGATATTTACAGAATAGGTGAAAGTGGAAGAAAGACTTGATTACTTTGGAATTCTAGTTACAATGCTCGTGTACTTACTACTTTAATGACAGCTTGTTACCCTTGAGGTTATTCCAGCCTGCCATAGCAAGAAAGAATTGAACTATGTGTCCTGTCTATTTGCTCTGGATTTGACAGTGACTTGTTTGGTTTACCAGTCAATTCCCCAGGAAAGACTCATCCCGTTTATTTAATACTAGCAACTGACATTTGTTGAACATGGCATGTGCTAGGCACTCATTTTAACACATGCTGTGAAGTGTTCTCAATACATCTCATGTCATAAAAACAGTCCTCTTTTA